GTTCACTAAAATGGCCAAGAAATATTTTGGGACGACATATTTATTCAAAACAGTTTTTGATTTGCTATAAGCGAAAAACGTACGAATTTCTTGTGTGTACAAAGCCCACGCGGTGAAATTCATCATGCTTAGATCGTTGACTTACCCTCAAGGCCAGAAATTGCCCGGCGTTATGTTGGAAGTTCTCTAAAAACCTCGATTTGACGATTTGACACAAAATCTTCTATTAAAGAATACTTTTTGAACACATGGTTACTCGAACATAATATTTACTGGGCCATCGAATCGTCAAATTGTCGCTGGGCCCTGCTTGAAGTCCGAAAGTTCGGTTTTGACTTTATGTCCATAATTCGCATAGTACTGAGAATCGTTGACTCGAGGTCTTATTCTGACACCTATAAGACCTTGATATCCATTCTTCTCCAAGCAGAGTATTCTATAGCATTGTTACCTTAAATTCTGAGTTCTAACTCGATCGCAACTTTGCAGTTTTGAACTTTTTACTTCTCGTAACTTGACTCGTTCAAACTTCTCGTAACTTGACTCGCTCAAACTTCTCGTAACTTGACTCGCTCAAACTTCTCGTAACTTGACTCGTTCAAACTTCTCGTAACTTGACTCGCTCAAACTTCTCGTAACTTGACTCACTCAAACTTCTCGTAACTTGACTCGCTCTGACTTCTTTTTGAATCAGTTACTATCTCTTCTTCCTTTAGCTCACAGTCTGGTGGATTCTTTGCACACCCGTTCCCCAGCAAATAGTTTTCTACCGTGAAGTGGAACGATTTTCCTGAATGAATTTGTCATTTTGATATCAGAAATGATATCGTGCCTAATGTCCGTTACCTCAAGATTTTCCACGCTCTTCGTTCGTAGCTCACAAACTTTCACCTCACTTTCCCATAACCGTGCCCAAAGCCCTCATTATATACGCGAGGTGCGAGAAAAAGGGGAAGAAAACTATTGAATATATAGAAAAAAGGTTAATTACACAAGTAAAGAATGCGAATTACATAATAGATACAAATACCACACACTAGACATATCCTAAGGCCATCCACAGACTAGGGATTTAGTTGTCGACAACTATTTGTGATCGACCATTAA